AGAGAGAGAGAGAGAGAGAGAGAGAGAGAGAGAGAGAGAGAGAGAGAGAGAGGGGAAGGCGAAAGGGGGGCGTCCTTCATCCTCGTTCGCGCGTCCGTCCTCGCGCGCGGCCCACGTCCTTCGCGCTCGGCTCGACTCGGGGCGCGCGCGCTCAACGGCCTCGTCGTCCGGCGTTCTTCAAGCGTCGAGGGGGGGCTCGAGCGTTGCGGGGGCGCGCGAGACGGATGGGCTCTCCCCTGGCTTTGTGCGCCGCTCGTCCCTCGCCCATCTACCGCGGGCGGTCGGGGGGCGCAGCGGCGCACAGAAAGCTAAGAGGGCCTGTCGCGACACCACGCCCGTCGGACGAGGTGGGCAGGCGCACACACTTTGAGTCGGGTTGCTTTCGCCTCTGAAGCGGGACGTCGCTCTGCGCTATCTTCCTTTGGGAAGAACAGTGACGGGCTCGCATCACCCCCCTCTCGCGAACAGCCCCCTTCTTCGCGACAAGACGTCCGGCGCGATGATGCCCGAGAGCGGCGCACTCGATCGGGTCGAGCGGCGAGGCGACTGGGCCCTTGAGCGAGTGACACGTACGAGCGAATGGATGAAAGGATGTCCCCTTTGGTGGGGAGGGAGCGAGAGAGATGGGGCCTCGGCGACGCTCGTGAGGCGAGGCGAAGAGTAGCACTGCGCTGATCCCTTCTTCTTGCGCTCGACAGGTCAGCCTCGCCGAACGAATGACAAGCAAGAGCAGCCGCAAGACGACGCAAGGCAACGAGCCCGCACAGCCCTTCGGTTCTCGCCTGCCTCAGTCATTGCCGCTGACGCTCTTCCTTCGGGCAGACATCGAGCAGGAGCCAGCCGCGCCGTATCAGCACACGGCCATCGCCGACATCGACGCGTCGCCGACGAATCGCTCGCCGACGCGCGACGCGCGACGCAAAGGGAGCAAGAGACCGACGACTCAGCAATCTCCCGCCGTGCCCGTCCACCAACTCAAGCTTGGGTTGGGCAAATGGGGGCACGGCGGGAGGGAGGCACAAGCGCCTCCGTGAGTGCTCTCTTCTTCTTCTTCTTCTCGACGAACAGCGCGCTGACTTCCTTCCTCGTACGCATCGCAAATCCTCATCGCCACCGGCCGAGCTGGACGAGCCCGAGTGCGCAGGGGGACTCGAGGCGCAATGCTCTGATCCTCATCTGGTTCGGCGGGCTCGTCTAGCTCCTCTGATCTTCGTCGCCGCGCCTAGTGCTCCGACTCTTATACCTTGCTGTACAAGCCCCACTCTCTTTACGCTTTGCCCGAGAAAGACCGCAATGAGTACCGCTTTGTTCTCTCTCTCTCCCACTTTGCCTTCCCCCATCCCCCCTGCCCCCCGCTTCCTACTCCTAAGCTCGCAGTGGCATGCGGACTGACCCCTCACCCAAATGGCCGAGGTGCGACGGGGAGCCCGAGTGCGCCTTTTGAGCGCGCAATGGCTCTGCGGGCCGCTCATCTAGCTCGAGGCTCGCTTGGCCTCCTCTGCCTGCCCCTTCCCCCCCCCCCCCCCCATCGCCCAGTCTAGCGCGCGCCGCGCGGCTTCTATGCTTCTGCGTTACCACGTCCTCCTTCTCTCTTCTCGCTGTGGCAGCAAGAAAGGGCAGAGAGCGAGAGACAGAGAGAGCGATCGCAATGAGAGGAAAAAGCTTGTTCCGTCTGCCTCTCTGCCCTCTCTCTATCTGTGGACTGCCTGTCTGCCTCGTCTTGGCGCCCGTCTCACCCCGCGCCTTTCTCTCTTGCCCCTCCTGCCTAAGTCCCTCCACGTCTCGCACGGCTCGGCGCTGCACAGTCTCGGGTTGCTACTCATCTGTGGATGGCCCACGACTCATTTCTTGCCCCAGCTCTCCTGCACGCCCTCATAGCGCTCCTTGCGCGCCTCGACCTTGCGTCTGCTCGCCTCGCGCTCCTCCCACCCTTGCTGCATCGCTGCGTCGCCCGCTGCATCGGCGCCCGCAGGCGTGACGTACTCGACGGGCACGTCCCAGCCGACCATGTTTGCCGTGGCGCGGATGCGCTCGGCCTCGGAAGAGCCGTAGGTGGGATTGTAGCGCGCCAGCAGCTCCTGTCGAGCAGCCGCCGGGGG